CCCCTTTTTGCATGCAATGGTAAAAAAAAGTCCAAGGATGTTGCATGCTTTCCAGTGTAGCTACTTCAGTCATTCCTAGATAGCTAATTTGTATAAGCATGAGAGATTATTCCACTAATAAGGTTTAAATTAATCTATTGCAAAAGTAATGCCTCAGAGAGTTGCCAACAATTTGACCAACAACACATTCATTTTTTCCTCTCTTGACTCACTGTTTACTTTCCAGCTACACCATGCTCACTTGGCACTAAATAGCTTAATTTACTTCTATTACTTCTGTATTATGGTTTTTTTCTGGAACTTTTTCTATCCTTGTAAATGTTGTCCTTTCAAAGCTGTATATCTTCGTTGCCTGCATGCTAGCTTCTCTCTTATTCATTCACTTAAGTGAACATTAGATCATTTATATTAAATACATTTTCCCTGATGACCTTTGGCTGTGCATTTATTTCTCTTCTACCTCAGCTAATAAAGTGATATATGGTTTTCAATTTGGCATCAACTAACAATTGATCATAGCGTTCTGTTCAAATACACACAGCAATTACTACTAAAAACTCCCTATTTCAGAGATTTATATGGTGGTGACATGACTGGATTCCACTTCTACCATGAGATTTCACAACAACTGAATCACATGTAATAGGTCAGATTTTTTCCAATATAAATTACATCTTATGGTATTATGGCCAAAAACCACAGTATAAAATTGCTCAAGCTGACACTGCAAAAATATGCTTTGGAATTCAAAGCCTTAAGTTGCACTGTTCTTGAAAAAAATTGTGGAATTTTCTTTAAGCCTGTTTTTTTGTTAAATTTACTGATTGATGTCTGAACACAAAAAGATAACGTTATCCCCCAAAGTATGTGGTATTTCCTTAAGTGAGGAATAATACTAATTACTGTAAAGGATTACTGACAAATGTTATTGTGATCATTCAAATTTGAAAGAGACTAACACCACTGGTTTTTAATAGCTGTGTAAATTTTAGACCAATATTTTCTTTCCTTACTCAAACTAAATTACAGCATGATGTATTGTCTTAACAATAGAAAGTTCAAGCCTAGCATTAAACTGATTCATCAATCAGTGGTATATTTTCTTCTCTTGAAGTTCTATGACAGATAAAGAAAGTAATTAGTATTTAACTACATAATTAGCTTCCCATATATAAAAGCCAGGAGAAACATTTATAACTTTTCTTTCATTTGAATTAACAATAGAAATTTCTCTACAGTTATTAGTTTCTTCGTTTGTTGAATTCTGTTCATGTCTGAATATGAGATGCTGTACTGTCTCTTTGAGCACAGAACTTGAGGTCAGAAGCTTCAGACAGTCTCATATTTAATTATATGGTCATGAACAAAGACACTAACATTTTTTCTTTCCTCTTCCATCTGTAGAATGTGGCTATTCATATTTAAGTGCCTCTTGAATTAATTGTAGTTATTAATAGTTGTATTGATCAATAGTTAATGAATTCAAATTATTTTTGAGGACAAAAATATTCTCAATCATGCAGAGAGGAAACTGGAATTTCAATTATATTGAAAAATGTAAATTGAAAATATACTAATGTTCCAAACTGCAACAAACCCAAAGAATTTTGAAATTGTCTGAAAAACACAGAAGTCACACTTAATTTTGTTTCAAGAAAATATTTTCTAATATATCTTGTACTGGAATAATGAAGTAAATTGCAAAAAAAAAGGTACTTCAAAATAGGAAAAAATCCAATAATAGAATTTTTTTTTAATTTAGTATCTACTTGTCAAAAATATTGATCAACTCTAGTTTCATCTATTATAATTATTCTTATATTAGTGGATCATTTTAAAGATGACAAAAATGGTTTCATCATTAATCTATCAAAAGCTAAGTGATGGGACAGTCCCAAAATTGTCAGGAGCCAAAAAAACCCTCAGTACCCTATTATACAGTTTTTTACTTGTTCAGTGCTCCAGGTCCCGTGTCCCTTGCAAATCAATTAGTCTCCATCACAGTAATTACAGCATTCTTAAAAACAAATTGACTTGTCAAGTTAGTTCCTCCATGACATCCTCAGTGTCTTCAGCGTCCCTTTTTTTAATGGAGAATGACAGCAGATAGAAAAACAAGTGAGGTTCCACCTGCCTCGGTTCCCCTTCACTGTGGGGACTGCAGCAGAGCCAGGATTCTGTTTTCTGCTGTTTAAAACCATATATGGAAAACATCAAAACAGGAAAACAGCAATTCATATTCTTCATCTCATTTTATCAGCACTGTTGACATTGGGTATCATTTCATCTCTGGCAATTTTTTCAATGGTATTCACATTAGGACTTTTAAAAAAATCCCTGCAGCAGCCATGGCCACCTACTAACTCCAGTGTAATGGCTCCAAGGGAATTCCTTTCAGCAAAATTAAAGTGGCACAGAGATAACAATTCAGTTTGGTTTCTTGTAAATTGAGCAGTGCAGCCTCACACCTAACTTAATCCAATTTGAAGTAATACAGTGTGTAATCCAGGGCAAGAGACAGGCAAAATCTAAAGCAGTAAGAAAGGAAGGGAGCTAGCCCAAAAGGGAATGCTCTACACAGCAGAAAAGAAGATATCAGGCAAAGATTTTCTACTTTCAAGATTCCTTGAATGTGGCTTTTATTTTTTTTCCTCTTTAATAAAAGGTTATCTTTCTCTCTACAGGTAGGTCTTGAGTGATCAGCATATACTGTCCTAAACCCCCACCTGATATGCACTATGTTATTCTGTCAGTGAATTTGCTGGCAAATCCCTTCAGGTCCTATAAGCCAGTATGAACCCTTAATAGAAGTATAGCAATTTACACCAGTGGAAACTCTGCTCTAATGACTCTACAATGATTTATACCAGCTAAATGTCAGAACCCACTAAGGGAAATGGAGATGAACAGTCTTGAAAGGACAGCATCAAGAAAAATGTTGGTTATTTTTTTTCCTTGGGCATGATAGCAGAGTAACTAAAACTAACATTGTTATGCTGATTAAGGAGACTGCAGAAGAGCCATAGGAAAACTGAAGTACCAATCTGCTTCTCATTGTTACAAGGCAACACTGAGATGGAGAACCTGGAGAAATTCAACCTCACACAAGTATTCCTCTGCAGAATTTCTACCATGAGTTCAAAAGCACCTGTGCTCAGCTCGAGGGCTGTCATAGCCACTGGTATAGACATTTCCCTCAGGGATGTTCTGTAGGTCACATCACCAGTCTAAAGTTACAAAGTGTTCCTCCAGCAAAATCATCACCAGGTTGCTACTATCTGCAGTGGGTGAGAAAAACTTCCTTCTCATTTTTTGTCTCTTGCATAATTTCTTTCTTTCTTTTTATAATTATTATTATTTATTATTTTTGCTCTTTCAGTCTAAATGTCAGAAACTGACATATGGCCACTGCTTCCATCACTTTATCAGTGGCACAGCAAAGTAATATGGAAAGCCCTGCAGAATAATCTGCAGTCTGGGCCCTCTCTATGACAAACAAGGGCAGGTCTCACAAGGCTTTTTCGCTTGATCTCGTTTGTGTTATCTCAGTCTGTAGCTTGATATAAAATGAAAACTTCTCTTGGGAATTAAATATCAGATAACATCATGGTTTTTTCCACTACATTCAATAGTTTGCCTGCTTGTCCTTGAGCCATTGAGAAAATCACTTTAAGTACTTTAAATTTTATAAAAACCTGAGTAGTCTATTTTTTAAAAAAGTAATGTGGTTTTGGTTTTGCCCATATATTTCACTTGGGCAAATCAAAAGTTTTCTTTTGATAGCTAGGTTGTCCTCTGTAACATGATCATACTTTAAAGGAACTCATAAAATTTAAATTTTGCAGGCTAAAAATTAAATATTAAACCCTGATGAGATATGCATATCATTCTCATTCTCTGGAGTTATTCAAACCCACCTGGATGCAATTCTGTGCAACCTGCTTTGTGTGGATCTGCCTTAGCAGGAGGGCTGGACTAGATGATCTCCAGAGATCCCTTCCAACCCCCTCCATCCTGTCATTCTGCATATTACATCTTTAGGATGTGTAAGAGATAAATTTAGACACATAATTAGTTGATGATACATATTTTATAATATGTAACCAGAAAGCAGACTGCTGGAATCCTATTTAAGATTTTATTAACAATTCATTAATTCTCTGAACTATTTAGGCATGGAACCCTAACATATTTAATTTAGGAATATTTTCTTGGCAGACTGATCCAAAAGAATAAGCAGCAGTAGCATTGTGGTTTTAAGTGTCTGAATGGTCATTCTTTTGCTGGATTGTGATCTGTTCCTAAAGAAATGAGCAAGAATTGAGGAGTCTAGATTCCCAGATTTCTCCCTACCCTTTAATCTAATCATGAAATTACCAAAAAAGCATCTCCAGTTGCTTCACCTTCCTCCAAAACAACTGTTGCCAGACAATGCTGCATGGATCACCAGGTATACACACACAGTGCTTTCTGGTGGTCTAAGATTTGGTGAGTCACTGCCTGCCTCTTATTCACCTGCTATAGTGTACTAGAAGCAGCTGAGAAAAGTGTATTTTACTTCCCAATTGGTCGTGAAGAATTGCCATTAGCAGATGCACCCTATTCAGTCAACAGTGAAAGCAAGAGAAACCTGCCCCAAGAAACTGTCCTGACACACCCGTTCAAGCTATTCATAGTAAGTCAGGCAGAGCAGTTTTCCTTAGTGCTGTACAGAGGTTCTGCTGTCTGCTTCTGTCTGTCCTCCTGAACTCTGAGGATGCAGAATGAAGTAAACACGGATCTCTAGCAGCAAAAACTACAGCCTTTCCCAGTGCAGCTAGAGAATGACACTTCTGCCTAGAATTCATAAGCAAACTTCCATGCATGCTGTGGGTGGCTACGAGAGATATGTGTACAGTAACTCAATATATTTAAAAGCATACATTTCTTTCTTCTCCCTCCCACCTCCCCCCAGCCATTAAGTAATAATTAACGGGTGGAAGTGGAACCAGTATACTGACCTCATCGACATTCTCAAATGCATTGATGACATCATAGGGCAAGCACGAGAGCAGATCGATCACAAACCAGGTCTTCAAGTAATTCATGCGAATCAGTTTGGGGTCAGAGATCACCTCTCCTGCCGGCCCCACAAAGGTCGTATGGAAATTGAGCACAATGTCGACCAAAAAAATGACATCCACAATACTGTCAACTACTAGCCATGCCACGTTGTTCTGTTTGGTTTTAAAGGAGACATTGTAAGGAACCAAAATAGCAGTGTAAAAGGTTAAAATCAAGATGATCCAGTCCCAGGTGGTCTTGAAAACACAATAATGCAAAATTATATGTGGCGGAGTCTTTGGTGCCTCTTGCTTGTACTGTGGGAGGATTTCAGAGCCCAGCTGCAATACCTGTAGTCACAGAGATTTCAGGAGAAAAGGAAAATATGCTTAATTTTTTCATTATATTTTTCACACCGTAAATTCTCAAGCTCAGTACAATAGTTGATAAAAATACATGCCCATTCACTCCTTTTATCACCACAAAATGGTAAGCATGTCAAGATAAGTATTCCATTAAATAGATCAGCATCAAACTAAGAACAGTTGTTTCTTGTGATACTATTAATTATTTTTTGGCACTAAGTCTAATGTGTCAGGTGTCCAAGATAGCTTCTTCGGTGATCCGAATGGGTAAGACAGATAAATGATAGGCAAGAACAGGCAGGAAGGCAGTTGTGAATGGAAATCAATGGTAAAACCAGGAATAATACCATAACTTCTGAGTTGCAATCCAACACCGGGACAGCTGGACCACATTGTTTTGCAGCACTGGCTATTTAACCCCACGCTGTGTCTGAAATAGTCTTATACTACAATCTGTCACGATTGTAGTATAAGTATGGGTCTTTCTTCCTCTTCCTTAGATTGTGCAGGTCCAAAGACGATGGATAATTATAATAAACCTCAATAAACTCATTTTGAACTTCAACTTTTCACTGAGAGAAGTTAAGTATCTAAGCTACCTGATGGTTTAGAATCAAAGAAAGATAGAGGACTTTCTGAATCTTAAGGATTCTAAGACCACTGAGTCCAACCATTAACCTCTTACCACCACATTCCCCAAAAAACCACGTCCCCGAGTACCACATCCACACACCTTCTGAACACTTCCAAGTATGGTGATTCCTCCGCTTCCCTTGGGAAACCTGTTCCAATGCTTGACAACCCTTTCAGCGATGAAATTTTTCCTAATATCTAATCTAAACCTCCCCTGGTTCAACTTGAGGCTGTTTCCTCTGGTGCAGTCACATGTTATCCAGAAGAGAGCAACCTCCCCCTCACTACAACCTTTTTCCAGGCAGTTGTAGAGAGTGATATGGTTCCTCCTGAGCCTCTTTTTCTCCAGGCTAAACAACCCCAGTTCCCTCAGCTGCTCCTCATCAAACTTGTTCTCTAGAGCCTTCATTGCCTTTGTTGTCCTTCTTTGGACATGCTCCAGCACCTCAGTGTCCTTCTTGCAGTGAGGGGCCCAAAACTGAACACGGTATTTGAGGTGACCTGTCGGAGTGTACTGTCCAGTTACAGTGCAATTAGGTCTGAATTCAAAAATGCACGACTGCAAAAGATGATGTTTTAAACCCTGGACCTCAGGCTGAGCATATGCTGACACTGAGTGCTGTTTTGCATAACTGCAATCTTGATCAATGCTGCCCGTTTTCTGTCTGTTGTCTCTACAGTTCTCTCCACTCGTGTGAAAACAGTATTATCATGCATTTAATTCTTGGGAAATAAAGTTTCTTCCACATAGCTATGAACAAGAATGTATTTGTTTATATCTATGGATATACATGAGAGTGAAATCAACATGAAGAAACTGTGTCCAAACAAAGACAAGCTAAATTTTAAAATTAAATTTACCCTGGACGAATTATGGACAAAAACTGAAAGGAAGACGGAGATTTACTAGAGTGAAATGTGTTTGCTAGTGCCAAACACACAGAACCTGGGAAAAAATTTAGGATCATGGCTCCTTTTTCACATTTATTTACACATAGTTCAGAACAATAGGGAGCAGAGAAGGAAATTAAATGGCCATCTTTCTCAGGGAGAAGATCAGACAGCATAGCTGCAATAGAAGGATGTCTAGGATGTCTCCTTTCATTCTTCCTTCCTTATCTTAGCCTTTTTAATGTCAATTATTTAGGCATGGATTTTTATCTGCAGGCTTTTCTGAGTGTCTTTTTTTTTTTTTTTTTCTGAACTGGTTGGCTTTTTTCCAACAGTTTAAGCCAAAGGGGACAAAAGAAAACAACCAGCTACAAAAGTCCTATTTCAACAAAACAGTCCTAGATCAAATTCCCTGCTGCTTTGAACCTCACATAATGACTTAGTCTTGTACACAACAGTGGTCAAACACTGTCAGATCACAGTCCCTTGCACATGTGTAAATGACAATGGGAATTGCAAGCCTGCTGACTTTGAGTCCAGTGTGTTCTCCTGAAGAGAATTAGCACAACCTGCTCACAGAGACCTGCACATTAACACAGAGGCACCAACAGTTTGAACAAAAATTTTAAAAAATAAGAGAACCTAGTATTTTTGTTTCACCGAGTTCCTAGAATGACAGCAAAGAGGAAAAAGGAACATTTCCTCTGTAGACCAAACCAGGAGTCAGACATCTCCCCTGCAGTATTAAGTAGTCTATGACTCCTGACCCTGATTCACGTAGTTTCTTCATATCACCAAAAAAAGGCAAAAAAAAACCCAAATAAAAAACTGCCTTGTGGTGAGAGCAGCTGCAAGCAGCACAACAGAAGTAGTCTCTATTCTCTACAGAAGGCACTGGCCAGTCTATTCAGTCCCCAGAAGTCACAGGTAGTGACTGGAAGAGGCAGAGGTGATGTATTGAGTTAGTATGGGTACACAGTGTCGCTGCCTTCAAGGCTTGTTTGCAATCCCAGTGACAAATGTTAGGACGTCTTTTCTCAACAAAAGCTCTAGCCCACGATCAATATTGCAAATATCTCCTGCCCTCCCTTTTGAACACCACAGCTGTACCCACAATCAGTGGGAAAGCAAAGAGCTACTACTGGCCTTTTTGAGGTCTGCATGAGTAGCAGCTCTAACATAAGATCCTAAGCCTGAAATATGCTGAAATATGGGCAAGGAGAGTCCTCTGCAATACTCACTCACTGGAATAACTGATCAGCAAATCAAGCATCTCTATCACATAGTAACATTTATCACTCAGTTAACTAGATTTCAGTTCAAATGTTGAAATCTTACTACTAGGGAGATGGCACCACCTCATAAATGCAGGATGAAAACATAATTGCTTGGTTTGTAATCACAGGTCTATTACAGCTTATTTTTTTAGCCTCTGTTATTATATGAATAAGTCAAATTTTTTTGCAACCAATCTAATCAGCACAGGAACCTCAACCATGAAACTCTGAAAAAAATATTTTATTTAGTTCTTGTCAGATTGGTTCTCATACATAAATTCATAAGTTCTAGACTGAGAATTTTATAATGCACTCCATTTTGGCCATTGCTCATCTCTTTGTACTCCAAGAACTTGTGGAAATTTTGCATCAACTAAATTATAGGTGCTGGAAAATGTACTAATATATTCTTGTATACCCAAATAATAGGAAAAAGGTAAGAACGCTCTTTTTTGAAATAAAGCAGGGTCTAAATTATGGAGTCCATTATTTTGCTGCAAATGAAAACAAAATAAAGTCAAGCCAGTGGAACTGCGGGGATGTAAGACTGAACTGAAAGCAGAAAAAAACAGACTTCTAGTTTCAACTTGTTAAGAAAATAAACAACTTTGCTACTTCAGTGTTTAAAAATGTCATCATCAAATACAAAGCACTCTCTCCTAGCTTGTTTGAGATTCAAGGGCTACAGCATAGAAAAGTAAAAGGATTGGTGTCTTCTTCCTTTTCTATTTAGAAAGGAAATGTGCTCTAAACTATCTGATTGGCTAGGGACTTTATTATTAAGTCTTTTCAACTTCTGTTACCACACTGGAGTCTGTACCACTGGCCATTTGAAGTAACCAGGGGTCATGGCTTTTACTGTCTCCAGCAGAAGGGTGTACACCCGCACTATGGGAGTGAATCTTGAACGGAGGGGCAGGGACAGGGCAGGACTGGGCATCAAGGAATTACATGGGGATATCAGTCACTCACCAGGTGGAGAAAGCCACTTGCAGGAAGCCTGAAGTGCTTCCAGTCCTCTGGTAGGGTGGGGTGAAGGTGACAAGTTCTAGCCCGGGCTCTCTCCCACTACATCATTTACACGCCCCCTGTAAAACCACTCCACCTTGCTGGCACTGCTAGAGATGAACCATCATATCACAGCTTGGGATGGAAGAAGGGCACTGTCCCAGCTCACACTATGTCTCCCAGAAAAGGTAACTTGCTTTACAGCCTGGCAAAGGTCTTGCAGCATCTGGGACTGCCAGACAAGACCTTTCAAAGGCACCAAATTCCTCATTTCATTGAAGGAAGAGAAACACACCTATAACAAAGCTTAATTATCTCAGAGAGCAAGCATGTGCCTTTAAGCATAAAGCACAACTAAAGAGCTCAGTACTGCACAGAAATCAAGGAATAAGGTCCACAGAGCTTCATGCTAAGGATCTAGGTTTTGTCAGGTCACTTGCACTGGAAGTTATAAGAGCTCCTTTCTCCACTTTTCACAGCAAGGGCCCCACACAATCTATTTCCTCATCATCCTTCCAGACACACACACCACCTCTGGATCATCTGGAGATTAAGAGCTATAAACTCCATTCTTTCGGCACCGTATCTCAAACCCAGGTAGATGCAAAGAAAAGTACCTTCTGCCCTACTCCAAGGTGCTCTTGCTGCACTCCAGCCTCTAGAGAGAGCAGCACTAGCCTGAGACAGGTTTGCTGAAGTAGTAGTGTAGTTACCTGCCCATAGGGACTAACTAGATTCAAACTGCTTGTAAAGGTACTTCTCCTGGAGAGGAAAAAAAGAACCCCAAGAGATTAATATAAAAGTAATCATTAAGAAAACGTATACAACTATATAAACCAATATGCTGAGTTTCCACCCATGTGCACTGTATAATTTCATTATTATACTTTTCAAAATAACTGAAACAGGCTTGGGTTCAGAAGACTTTTCACTATTATACAGTTTTATCATAGTAAAAAAAGTATTTTTTCAGATAGTTATTAATGAAAGTAATATTTCAATTACTTATGATTCATCAGATAATACAGCTGTATTATCTGCATTTATTATTTGTGGTAATGATGCATGATGTTTTAATAGCTTTCTAAAGCTGTGGAATTTTATTTCAAGAGCAGAAATGCCAAATTTCATCATGGTTTTCTCAGAGTTGTGGGGTTTTTGGCAGTGTTTTTGTGGATTTTTTTTAACATAGCAAAATTAAAATTAAAAAAAAATCTCCTAGATTTCTTAAAAAATGGTGAATATATCCTGAACCATGACTCCTAAAAGTGCATCAACAAGTGGTTACAATGACTTAAGATTGCATGCCTGGGGGGAGGTGAAAAAGCCAGCACATACACAAACAATCACTCATTTCCAGCTTAATCTCTTGTTTCTGTGTTTTCAGCTGCACATATTTGCTTTCTCTCACTCTCCTTTTCTTTTGTTTTCACAGGCACCCACACAAATTGCTCCCAAGCTAAGGGCTAGGTGCTAAGCCTCAACTTGGAGTAGATTTTAATGGTAGTGTAAAGTTCCTGGTAAACAAGGTTTGGGGAAAAAAAAAAAAAAAAAGCAGAAGTTCTATTATTAAGCAATGCTGCTAAGCATCATTATAATTTTTCTGCTTTTATTTCTTATAACTATCACATTTTTTTTACTTATGACACAATCTTGTTTACCCAGAACTGCCAGGTAAATGTGCAGAACACATCAGCTAAGACCATAGGTGCAGACGATACACATACTATGCAGTGATCAGGAAGAATCGTTCCTACAATCAGCTCCTTGGTGATTAAGCCACAGAAATGCATTAATTACTTTACAGTCTTATTGCAAAATGTAGCCTCAGAGTTACCTGACAACCCTGTGTTAATTGCATAATTTATTTAAGTAGTTTTCACATGACTGCTATTAGAGAAGTCAGGCTAAGAAAAGCTATTCCTACTGGCAAAAGTCAAAGACTGAAGCTTCACAGACACTGCTATTACCCATGATCTGAGGATGAAACAAAGTAGTTTGTCACTAACACCTTTCTTAAATTATTTCATAAACAATAAAAGAAATCATAAGCTTTTGTGGCATGCTCCTGCTTCATATTTGTACAACACCTTGCTGCACTCAGGTTCTAGGACACAAATGACTCCTCACATATTCAAAAATATAAGTGCTAAAGAACTACAAGCAACACAAATAATATTCCAATAAATGAAGAGCCTTCTCATGAGAACAAGATTGATGGTAAATGTCATAATGAGTTGGAAAAGAAAAAGGATGGATTTTTATTTGAACTTAAAATTTCAAATAGGCTACTGCAGGGATGAAGGGGACAAAAAAGAAAAATATTTGAAAATACAACAGGGAACAGTTGGAGATCCAGTGTTCAATATTATGAAGAGATCTTTCCAGAATAAGAAACCTGGCACCCCATATATCTTCAAAGTAAGAAAAGTGGCCTTGTCTGTATGATTATCTGCACTCTGCTTTTCTCCAGTGTAGTTTTATTGACTTAAATGAAATTACAGCAGAAATTCAACAAACTACCTAACATCACAGTTGGGGCTAATGTTCTTTGTAAAATAATGACTGCAATATTCAGTCAGCAATTAAAAAAACTCATTTCAGACATGTAAACCATGCATTTGCCCTTTATTATTTATAATTAATCAGCTGGCTGTGCCAGTTGGAATACTTGCAAAGATTTGTTGAGCACATGGGCTTGCAAGAAATTTCAGTTACATGTGGTCATTGAGGTCCAGGCTGAGGTTCACTGAGCCAAACAGAATAACCTCAGACCCTTTGCCTTACACTCTACTGACTACATTTTAGCATGAACTAAAATTCAAGGGCAGACATCTAAAGAGACAACAGGATTATTTGATGTTAGCTTAGGCCTTGAGTAGGATTAGGACTATTCCAAATCTTAGGACAAGAAAGCAACCTCAGAGTGGACATGTGCTAGTCTCACAGTATTCCTACATTACAATGTCTGTGTGAATGGCTGCCCCTCCCCTGTGCTAGGATGATCTATGTTATTTCTGTACTTCCAACTTCCATTCTGGAGTTCTGTATTAAACATTGGGTAGGTAAGATACTGTCCATGACAATTTCATCATTATCTGTGATAACAGTACAGGCCTGGACAGGATGTTTTTATTTTGCATAGAAACTAAGGTGTACACAGGCAAATCTGACAGAGTACTAACTATGTGGAGACCTCATGGAACCCATCAATGCCTTACACCTCCAGCTACACAGCAAGATCAAAAATTTTTGACAAGAGTCACAGCTGCTGCCATGGCTTTCACAGCAATAAGCAAAACAGGATTGACATGTTATATTGGCCAAGCTGTCATTAACACCATATATCAAGCCTTTCCCTAAGCTGTTTTTACACCAGGGAGACCCTGCTACTGGCCCAGGAGACAGCTACAGGAAACTTGGGACAGTCTCTCCCCCTCGTGGTGAAAGCCTTCAAACCCTAAGTACTTCAAAGAGCCTTCTCTGACTGGAGCTTTTCTCAAAACTTTGAAAGACTATCTAAATCACAAGGTTTCATTTTCCTGATCTGTCTGCAGTGTTACTTGTGACATCTTACAATTGTTCTGTCTGTAAAGCCAGTAACTCAAACATACATTTTAACCACTTTGTACAGTAAGGCTGGGATCCCACTGAAAAGTAACCAGACATAAATTAATTCAGAGAACAACCATGTCAAGGATTCTCCAGAATTTCCTTGTGTATTAGCTTGAGTTTTTCTCACTCAAATTTTTTGAGTTTTTCTCACCTCAAATTACATAGTTAAATAGTCCAAGATCCTACTAATGTTGAGATCCTCAGAAGAATAAAAACAAGGCAAGAATTATTTTAATAATAGCACCCTTATAAGACTTTGATAAGATATGGAACACAACATGCAATTAGACTACATGAAGTCTGTTGGATCTCTGTTTCCATTCCACTGTCATGGGACACATTTCACAGCACACGTACCGTATTCTGAGCTCCCATGCCTGCCACCAGGCTTCGGATTCCCAGGGCAAGGGGGACACAGACACAACATACCCAAAAAGGCTAAACACATTTCTTTACAGCTTCTTATGGAAATAAAACGTTACCTCAGCAAGTCTCGAATGCTTGTGAACGTTCTCTCCTTTCTGGACGCTCGGAGCGAGCTGCTGCAGGACACCTCGGCTGCTCGTGAGGGCACGAGTCAAGCGAGCAAACTTCCCCCAACCTGCAACAAAATATGCAAGATTATACGCATTACCCAAAAAAAGCTGCAAGGGTGCCATATAAAACCTCTTATAACTAAAGGAAGGTGTGTGTGTGAAGTTCAAACAGAGCAATCTGCTTCAGTACTGACCGCAAGGGACTATAATTTAAGCAAGTACCAGATAAAAGTGAGTCACAAAATAGGTGTCAGCATGGTACTGTAATAAAACCCATTACTGCAGTGGCTTTGTATTCAAGAGTGCTGTTACATGAACTGCATATTTTGCAAGGATAAGTGTCCACTACACAATAATCTTCTATTAAATCCAATCATCAAATTTGGATCTCTCAGCACTGCCGAAGACACTCCAGACTAATCAAGATGTAAGACTAGAGTAACATACTATGAAAATTACAGTTGTCTGTAGCAGAAGTGAATCTGGTCTCAGATGCATCAAGCATAGATCTGGCATAAGCAGAGAAATACACAAAAGATAATAAAAAGCAGAGCAGAAAAGCAAAACAAAATTATTAATTTTATCCTCTCTAAACAAAAGGGGGAATATACTAATAGATTTTCTCAAACTCTAATTATTTAGCAGCTTCTGTCAGAGAAGTCATATGCTGAATTTTAATTCACAATATTTTTTACAAATACCCCCCAAAATAGAAGACCTTGAAAGACAGCCGCAAGAGCTAGCTACAACTATAATCTTTATGGGCAGTACTTTGCCATAACAGAAAATTAGGCAGAGTACACATCTGGGTATTTTTGGTACACTGAAAGGAAAATATTGGTGCATTTAGTCCCAATCTTGAAAAATGACAGCACCACCTGGAAACTATTGAGCAGTCTCATCTCCTACTCCAGCTAAGGATGCTCAGCAATTTGAAGACTCAGTTTATAATAAGAACTTGGTTCTGGTAAAAGTTCCCTCCACAGCTCTCTTGTAGACCCCCTTTCGGGTAGTGGAAAGTGCTATAAGTTCTCCCTGGAGTCTTCTGCTCTCCAGGCTGAATAACCACAAGTTTTTCAGCCTGTCTGCACAGCAGAAGTGTTCCATCTCTCTGAGCATATTTGTGACCCTCCTCTGGACTCACTCAACAGGCCCATGTCCTTCTTATATTGAGGGCCTCTAAGACAAATGCAGTACTCCAGGAGGGGTCACACAAGGTTGGAGTAGAGCAGGAGAATCAGATCTCTCGACTTGCTGGCCACACTGCTTTTGACACATCCCAGGATACAGTTGGCCTTATGAGCTTCAGATGCACATCACCTAGTCATCTTAAGCTTCTCGTCCACCGACAACCCTAAGTCCTTCTCTGCAGGGGTGCTCTCAATCCAGCCCGTAGTTGTGTTTAGGATTGCTGCGACCTAGGATTGCAGGACGCTGCAGCTGGCCAGACCGACGGGGCCCGAGAGGGCTGTGGTCCAAGAGGACATAAGCAATCGCCCCGCCTGCAGCCCCGGCGAGGAAGGGCTGCCGGGGGAGCGGGCGGTCCGGCGGAGTGCGGAACCTGGCGCTGGCCGTGGTGCTGAACCGGAACGAACGGGGCTTGTTTTCAAACGGCAACCCCGGCGACGAACAGAACAGACCACAGAGTTCCAGCTTCACACAGGAACTCGAAATCTGCCTCCCTTGCCAGACATAAAATATTTATAACTCCAGATAAACATAGGCAGTTCCTTTTACTAAGTCAAACCAGACTGATGGGTAGGGCATTTCCCCGGAAGATTCAAAGTTTGGTTCAAAACCTGAGGACAAACTTTCAGTGTGCATTTTCTTCCTAACACTGAATGTTCTACGATTTGGGCTATTCAGATGTAAATAGAGATATGAGGAAAAGGAAGCACCTCACTTGAGCTTTCTTGTACAAAAGCACTGCCAGACAACTCTGTGGCATGATTTGTGGCTATGAGTGCTGAGCACCTTTGTGTACCTGCCCCTCTTCCCAGGAGTCATCTCCTTTTGAAAGGTACAGCCTAACCCATTCCTCTCTCGCCAGCATCCCCAATAAGCATCTCCTCTGCCCTACGTGTTGCAGATCTCACTTGTGGGCACTTAAATGGGGCACAAAAGAATTGTTTTCATGAACATTAGATCTCTCACCCCATACTCCAAATCTGATCTGAAAACAATACAACTGTTTGTTACAGGCAAGAGACTGTGTCAAGAGGCAAAGCTTTTTCACTTGGCTTTTTAAACCAGTGCTGATATGAAAATGGTAGGCTGGGAGTACATACCCAAACCCTCCCTTACATAGGGTACAGCACATGGGAACCCAGTCTGGAGTGGCACATGGCCCCGTGCAATGATATGCCTAAAACCAGTCACAGAATCAATGTGCAAATGCCCCAGCTGTACAAATATAATCATTAGAACAGAAGACCCTCCTCATTGTACTGGTTTTTGGGTTGTTTGGGTTTGTTTGGTGCTGTTTAGTGAAAGAAAAAGAAAAAAATGTGGGAAATTTAACATAAAATTAGAGTAGACCAGTAGACTGTGGAAAAAGAAAACGAAAATGAGAGAGAATGCCAGTACTAATATTATTGAATAATAATTTCTTCTGAAAAGACAGCAGTTGAATTTATTCCAATTTTTCCTCCAGAATCCTAGGGACAGACGCAGCCTACAGCAAGTGAGATATTTGTCCAGTGAAGACAGGTCAAGTAATGGACTTAAGCCACACAACTGAACATAAACACTAAATTTTAAGGGTCATGGATCTATCCAAGACAAGAAACAGTTACAGAATGGTGTAAGAATGTAGTGGTGTCAGTCCTGCTAGAACAGAGGGACCAGATAATACGCATTATGATATGACTTATTCTCATTCAACACAAGAAGTTGTTATATCCTTACATCCATTCTTTTCCTCCAGAAAGAGAGAAAATATAAATTAAATTGAAATATACTGAGCCTATGTGATTCTAATATAAGCATATATGTTCCTCAAACAAGGTAAGAGCTCACATAGCAGAGAAGTCAGCTTGGAGTTCAGGACCCAAACATAAAGCTGAATATCAGCTCCATGGTTGTTCTTGTATGTGCCCATCTTTGATTCTAACCCATTTTTATCATTGTTTAGTCTCCTTTTTCAGTTCTGCAGAAAATATCATTCAGGGATAAAACAATAAGATGACACTAAAACACCTCCAGCTTCAAAAGCCTTCGAGATTAACAGCACTGATTTCAGCGCTCCTGCATTCCATGATGCTCTTTTAGAGGTTTCCACCATTTCTTTGCAAAAAGCTGAATAGAAATTGCTTATGGAAATGCCCAAGACAAGATGCCCACAAGGAGGACAAAAGCTTTGTTTCAGGGGGAAATATTGCATTGAAACGTACTTTCGTGATGTGATATTTAACTCAAACCTTTTCACCATTCAAGCACGAAGTTTCATTTAACAATGGTCTCAAGCTGAAGAAACCAATTTTCTGTACTTTGAGGTGAGCATGATCTGTTGATACTCAACCACAACAACATTTATTATTTATTTGTAGGTAGTTATTTGTTTCCTACCACTCTCCTCAGTTTGATCATGATGACTCGTAAATTTAAACATTAGGAACTGTGGCAGTTGCAGAACACTTGTTATCAAGTCGCTGATCCATGACTTACACAATGCCTGGAATTAGATTAAGGAGCCATTCCCTGCTAGAGAACAAGCTTGTTTGTCCACAGGTCTATTGTTCACACAAATGTGTAAACGTGAGTAAAGCAGAATTCCAGCAGTTCTTGTCTTCACTCAAACCACCTTTGTATTCTTGCACATCAAAGATCCCTGCTTACATCCATCATGCTTCTCTGCAGTGCTCCTTCCCTTTGAAAGCTCGTGACTAGCACTGTATTATTTTTCCATCTGGACTGGGGAAGCATACCAAAGTTTTTAATATACTCATCACTTCTCTTTCATTTGTTTCCTTTTTAAGAAAACATTTCATCCAGATGAAAGCAGAGTATAACTTAATCAAAATATTTCAAACACTGGCTCTGTCCATATAAATACATATTTAAAAACAGAACAAAAAATTAGCAACAAAAAACCCACATACACTCACACAAAACAGAAACAAAAAGGAAAAATAAAAAGGAAATGTGGATTTTCCCCTGAATTAAGATGAAGGAGGCAATCAAAATATTTTTTTGGTGTGTAGCCCTGCTTGTTATGCAAAGGGCAGCTTAGCTGCAAAATTAAATAAAGCATTTTCTGCAGAGGAGATAGCAAATGATAATTGCTACAAAGCACAGGAGGCTACAATATCTAGGAGGCTAATAACCATTCTCCTATATGATTCAGTGATGTTTAATTTTATCATCTTTTTGTATAAAAACAAAGTATCAAAAGCAAAAATTACGACCCAAAGCATCATTTCAAAAGTTTTATAAGGCAGCATAGATGCAGCTGAATATGTTCCCATTGTATTCATACATTCAAAACCTGTTCAGGCAAACTTCTCACAAGCTACTTGGAGGGCAAGCACAGATTCTGTTTGTCTTCAAACATAGTTGATTTCATAAAGTGATGCATTTCACTTTGTACACTATTCTCAGACATCTCATAAGTGGTTTGTTAGATCTCAAACAAAGAGAAACATACAGACAAAATGCATTAATTCTAAATATAGCATATACTCTAAAATTCAGCTAAGAAGGTGACCTACCACTTGACAAGCCAAATTTAGCTATGATACAGCTTGATTTTGCCTACTTCTGTTCAAGTAAACCTAGTTTCCCTGATTTTTTAAAGGGGTAAGCATACAGGAAAGAGTGGAAAGAGGTTGTTTAAAAATATTATATCATCCACATCACGGTCACACTATTTTTAAGTAGTTTTATTTAGAATGTACTATTTTTAAAGCTGCTGCATTTAAAATCAAGCCTTCCATGGCAGTCATAAAATAAACATCTTGTAAATTATCTGAATCAATTAACAAAGACTACAGTGAGAAGCCTACCTCTTACATGACTTCAGAAATATTTTCTTGTTTCATCTATTCCAACATCTAATATTATTAATAAATTAAAAAATAATTAAGATTAAAAATGGTACTGGACCTTCTGTCTCTCTGACTCACCTTCAGATAAAAGATGCCAATTCACTTTTGTGTAGCAAACACCTGTCATTAGAGCTCAACTCTTCTCAATCAAAAAGTCACTACATCATTTGCAGCTGAACAATCAGGCTTGAAATTGCCAGCAGGTGATAGAAAACTAAGACATACCACAGGTAAGCAGGTTTAGCCTGACAGATTATTTGCTCTTTAAATTGATCATGTTCTTGTACTACATAATGTTTTTCTCTACATAGACATAAAAGCATTGGTTTTGAAAAACGTGAATATTTTATATTATGCCACTCTGAAATTGTGCAAATAGCACATATGTTAATAAAATATCTGCTTCTACAGGCAACCTATTACATATGAGTGGTCATATGCATAGAAAACTAACTTCACATGTAAACTTGGTAAAAGCAATAAAATCTGATTGAAGGTGAAAGAAGGAAAAATAGTTGTTTTAGCAAACAGTTTTCTATTGTTTCAGTTAAACAACAAATCTCTAAATTCACAGCTTAAGGTTTTCAGAATGAGAGTTCATTTGTGTTTAGAATATGAGAAACATTCCTTTGAAAATTGCTCTTTCAAAACCAAGATGCAAAATGAGAGCTGCAAAAGAATAGGCCCCCTTCAAAGCTCACATCTGTTAAAACAATGATTCTCAGAAGCAGCTAACACAATTTTACCTTTTTTTAATCTTCCAAAAATGTTTTTCCACTCTGTAAATTCTAGAGCCTACTACAGACAATTGTCTGACATCCATAAGTACCTTTCCTCCTTCTCCCTTCACAGTATACAATTGCACAAAGAGATCTAACATTAAAGTCATGGATATGTATGTAAACTTCTGTTTGACCAATCAGCTTTTCCAAGAAATTGATTATTTAGCCATCAATCACTTATACAATATCACCTTCTTAAATGCACACAACAAAATTTCAAAGCTAGCCTACAGCAACTAACTCACAGAAGAAAGGTGTAGAGTTAAAATAAGGATGAAAATAGAACATGCAGTTTCATTTATATCATGCCTAGTGTGTGTATACAGTGACAGAGAAATCATTACCAGCATGAAACTGCTGCAACTTTATTAATTTTAGGAGATCCAGAAATTATCTTTGGAAGACTCATTTAGTGCACAAGCCCTTCTGTACATAAAGAGATAGCTCAGGGAAGGAGCGCAGAGCTGTGAATCAGTGGCCTCTAAATAATACATCCAGTTCTTCGTTTGCAATCTTTGTTAGTCACTTTACCAGTTTCCATGGGCTAGAGGAAGAAATTTTGCTTATCATTAACTCCTCTGCAACTCCTCCCTTTTATGTAGTTTTAGTGCTTATATTGCTGTAGATATGCAACTGCTGAGAATTACCACGATCACTGCAAGAATAACACGATTTCAAGCAATGACTTTTAAAAAAAATAAAATAAAATTAGCATTCTCTTTTTTAACATAGTTGAAAACAAAAAAGTTACAGTGTTTCTTTGTGTTGAAAGTGAAGGACAAACTGCCTACCTCTACCACATTTGCTGTGAAAGCAAAGAGAAAAGACACAGCTACCACTTGTGACTGGAAGTCCTGCTTATCAACTAAGTGAAACAAAGATCTTCACTACCAGCAAACAAATGAACGCCAGTTTTACTGTATTACTCTGATTTATCTTTGCTGTCAGTCCTCATCAGGATACAGTGAAGACCACTAGGCAGGGAAAAAATTACTGTAGACTCAAAGTTTCTGACAAGGTAAGTTTTTTAGTTTTATTAAAGCAATAAAAGCCCAAACAAATAGCATTAAAACGAGAAAAAAAATTACCCACATAGCCTGGGAGAGGGTATGTTTGTCAAGGTTGTACTTCCTTTTTCATGGTAACAGGTGTTTCCACTTTGAGAAACTATGTTTTTAAAGAATAACATTATGAAAACAAATGTAAATCAGTTCATCTTCACAGTAAGTTTCCTGTTTAATTTAATACTACAAATATTATTAAATACTACAAAAATGCAAACAACAGAAGGACACGAGTCTCTGTAATGCTTCATATGGGTACAAAAGGTCTATTTCTGACAGGATCTGAACCTGAGTGCAAGTTTATGCTGCTGTCACAGCTGAGTTTGCTTTCCAGGTTTCCAGGCCCTAACTCAGTGAAGGGTTAACAGCAGAACACTGCAATGCTACTTCACACACCAGGATGGCTTAAACCTGATTCAACTTCAGATGAGTCTCTTCACATAGGTTAAAGGGAACTAGTCCAGAACTTGAATATAAGGAATCCGACAATAATGGCAGGAAATGTCAAGCCAGGCAGAATGAAATTATTCAGATCTTTGCCAGATTCCGCCAGGTTTAATTCCTCAGTTTTTGCATACAGTTTCATGCACAGTTTGTACAGAGCTGCTTAGCAACATTATGAATCCCCGAAGGCTATGCTGGACTGTGGGTTAATAACATATTTAAAAGGAAGAGCAGTACCTATTTACTAAATAAACTGTGCTTTCTGAAGCACATTAGCAATGACCCTTTCCAGTGCAGGCCAGAGCAAATTCGCTTAAGAAACCAGCAACCACTCCTTGCACAAATGCTGTCCCAAGTGGCACAGCTACATTTAATTCTTTGGCTTTGGTATTTAAAGGACTTCAACTCTTTCAAGACCAGGGCAAACAAACAAAAGCATCATAAATACATAATTGTGAAAAAGACCAACCTTTACATGAATCATCCTCAATGGGCTGCTTGAAAGCCGTTATGTCATTGAAAGTGCAAAGAAATAAAACCACTTTATCCTGCTCATTTCGAATTGGAGCAATTTTCACAAAGAACCATACAGGTGTTCCTGGAAACAAACATATCAAAAAGTTGGTCAATGGTAGGCAGAAAGTAAATGTGCTAGTTCAGATGATTACATCTCATATCAGCCATCTGTAAGTGTTACTTTAATGTTGGGGTTTTTGCAAACACCTATTAGGAAAAATGACAAAACAGATGACAAGAGTGTTATTTAAGTTCTCTGCTCTACCTCTGATTAGTTTTTTAATCTTCAGCAGTCACTCATATTTCTGAACTTCACTTACAAAGTGAGTACTTGAATTTATGAACTGCCTTGTGATCTCCCAAAGGAAGAGTCCCATGTACATGCAAAGGCTGCACACAACAGAATGTTGCTGGTTATGTAAAGGACTTGAGAACAGGCCAACTGTGCCTAGACCATGACCACAATACAGAGTCTCAACCCAAGAGGAAGACCAGTTTTGTTAACCTTATACTTCCCTGCAAACACAGAGCACCATGCCCACAACTCCAGCCTATCTCCACCTTCAAGAGCCAGGCTCTGGGAAATTTGGTCTCGCCTGCAAATCCTCCCATGCAAGGGAAACCCTTTCCAAACTGCCTTCCAGCTTCCCTTGTCATGAGCCTCCTCACAATCACTCTAGTGTGACGCAAGACCCCACTGAATTCAGGAGAGAACAAGTCATTAGGACCAGACCCTGAGCTGTGGATGGGATCCATAAAACTGCACTTTTCTAATTACTGCAATAGATGAACTACTAAAGAAAATTGCTTGAGAGTTCAAAGCCTGCACATCACAGAAAAAGAGGATCCCATATTATGACCCTTCAGACGCTGCTGTCAATTTTCCTTGACATCTCTCCACACAGATCACCTTGAGGAGAGAATCTGTCAGTCAGCCCTGCCTTTCTACATTTCTGGCAGTTTTACTGAGACTGCTGAGAAGACCCTCGTGGTAGCAATGAATTTCCATGTAACAAGGTAGTGTCTACCACTCGTTTCACAGGTTTCACCACACTGATTTTAGTGATACTTGAGTATAAGCTAATTGGAGGGCTCAGAACAAAGCACTTGGTTTCTGTATGCCATAACATGGCTTCCCTGAAGGCACCATTTTTAAGTCTGCAGTCTTAATTTTAGACATAAAAAAATGACTTCTCCAACTGTGAGGTACATGGCAATAGGGAGGCTCCAGCCCCAGGCCTTCGGGAAGCTTGTACATTAGTTTTCAGACTGTCCCTACACCTTCAGTGATGATGAAAAAACTCGTAATTGCTTTTGCAGGCATAAGAAGTAAGAATCAAAGACAGGATTCAGGCTTGCTTGCCATGAACAACATTTTGCTTTTGTGTCCCTTGTAAGCTATGTTTGGAGAGAAGGATCTACACAGCAGGGGACAAAATAACATCAGGATTGGCAGGATTTTGAAAATCTGGGAAAGCCATAATAAAGAGCACCATACAATTTTCGTCACACATGCAGCGAAGTCTGTTTTAGAAAGGGTAGTCTTAGAAGACTATTTCTTTTCTTTCTCAATCACAGGACCCTCCTCTATGCTAATGATCTGATTCTCTTTCACCTCAATTCCTCAGTATTTTAAAATGCACACTATAAGGTATATTTCATGCAGTAGTTTTTAATAACAAGGGTCACTTATGTTTCCTGATTGTCAAAGAAATCTCAGGTATTTCACAAGTTACTGTTCAGCAAAGCAAACAAAGGCAGCTTTTTTTCCAGCTATATTAATATAACACAGGTTGTTGCTTCCAGTGCCTCACCTGGCTGTTTCCCAGCCTCAGTGCTGAGCAATCTTTTCTGGCTACAGAAAGACAGGGCATCTCCAAAATCCATGGACAACTTCCATAAATGAAGCTCAATTCCTAAGGCTCCCACTGTGCCTGCATAGCACAGGCAGTTTCAAACCCTGGCTGAGATTCCATGCCATATGTACAGCTACCTCTATAAACAGCAGGGTATATGATGCATGGAGGCCTCTGCTCAACAAGCAGAGAAATCCAGATGGAATCACTGGTGGCCGTTTCTGAAGTGTGCCTGCATAGCAGAAAGTATTCAAGGGTCAATATATCATTTTTTTTAAGAGTTCACATTCCTGAACAACCCCTTCCGATAAACTATCAGCAAATTAAAATGCAAAGTGCGGAAAAAGATTCAGCAAAGTAACTGTGCCAGTAAAATCATCACTAACTCGCTAATGAGCTTAGAAGACACTGCCACGAAGCAGCCAACAGCAATTTTCTAGACAGCAACACCCTTTATACTACCCTTTTTGTCTATCCCAATTTCTTCTTGCCTACTTGTTTTTCCCATCTTCACATGTGAACTATTCTGAGGCTGATCAAATCTGTCCTGCTTTTACACAGACTCCTTGGTGACTAATTGCTTTTCATTTTACCCACTTCACTCTTCACTAACACTGCAACGTTTTAATTAGCCAAGATCTCCATCTACAGCCTTCCTTTTTGATCTCTATCCACATGCACTTACTTTTTTTGATTAGGGAATTTTTTGCCCCTCCCCAAAACCACTTTGTATTGTTTTGCTTCTTCAAGCTACAGTTGTTCTGCTATGGGCTGCTCACAAAATTAACCTTCATAGCTCAACTACATACTCAGCTTCATCTCTGCTGCTCGCAGCTATAAAAACTTACTGCAGTGCTTTTGAAGATGCTGTACACAACAAAGAAAGAGAAAGGATGCAATTCACCCACTTATTCTGCCTATTTGTCAGGTGCATGCTGTCATTTTCTCTTTATGACTATGCTATAGGATGCTGTTGCAAGATTTTTCTAACATGTTCTGAATGCAGACTTTTCCCAAAAACTTGTTAAGGGCTGCTGCAGGACAAGGAGCTTTTATCAGCAGGGTTTTTACTTTCTGACTCTCTTGACTCCCACTTCTGTGCTGCATTGTTTATAACAATAAAGAAAACAAAACACGTTTTCATCTAGAGCCAAGTGTAGAACTTAGTGATGTGCCCAACAGGCTGAAAGAAAGAGCCCGATATCCTTGACAGCTAAAAGTAGGTGCATTTGCTGAATTACACTATTTGGATACTCTTATAATTTCCAGAGTGCCACAAACAGGGCAGAATGTAAAATCAAGGTGGTATGCATGGTCTGCATGAATCATCTTCCAGTTTGGATCTACACAGTAATATTTGCAACTGCAGAAATAAGCAGATGGAAAACTCTGCCAGGCCATGTATCTGCCTCCACAACATTGTATTTTCCTGCAGTGTATTCCCTAACGTCTTGTCAATCCATTTTGTGAATAAGAGACAAGTGGATATAAATATACAGTCCTGAGGTGAGTGCTCACAGTGCTGGATTACATGAGCTTTCCACAGTGCTCCACAACCAGGAGCTCTTTCAGAGTAGAACTGGGACCTGAACTGTGGGAACACACTGAAAGGCTCAGCCAAGATGTGACCATTCTCAGTTTTTTTCCTGCATGCTGGTTTAATTATCAGAAAAATTTTACTTTTTTAAACATTAAACAGTTTATTTAACTGCTAAACAGGAAAGCTTAAAGTATAAACTACTTATAAATCAGGTCAGAAACTAGAATTTCAATGTTCTACAGGCACCCCTCATGCTCTTGGTGTCAAAGCCAATGTCCCTGCTCAGCCAGGTAACTACTATTGGCAAGAGGCACAAACAAGGCCATTTTAATGAAAAATGTGATTTTCAGATTCAACCTATAGGTTACGCAGGCAGTGGAACTGCAGCATGTTCCAGAGTTCTCACAGCAAAACGAGAGTAACTTCCCAGTTTGCATTGATGTACAGCCACACAGAAAGTGTTTACCAGTGTTTCCAACAATACATCTACTTCCATTTACATTTTGTGTTTAGTCCTGGCAACCTCTCTCCCTGGTAAAGTTCAGCGATAATACCAGTGCACAAACAAAGAAGTAAACACTCGTGAGTTACGTTGGCTTCTGTTAGATTTGGAATCAACAGTGAAAGAATCCAGAGTTTGTCTAATGGCATAGGACCAATCATGCTAGAAAAGAGAATGTCACTTCAAAGCTGCAGGAGAAGCAGCGTGAACAACTGGGAAGAAATAAAAATCTACAAACTATGTCTGACAGTAGCCACAGGACCAGCCTGGCTCATGGTATCAAAGTTATGTAGCTAATCCCAGAATTAACAGGTGCAGCTCTTAATAGTCTTTACTGGCCTGAGCACAGTACTTACAGTACCTTAAAGGCAAGATAATTTTAAGGGCTGTGAGTCAAGTCCCAAGTCTTCTCCAGAATAAAACACAGTAAATGTCTGCACACCTTTCAATTAAAAAATGCCACTTGTAACATAAATACTACTGTTTCTTCCCTAACCTTATTTCCAGTTCTGTGTATTTCAACAGTGATGTGTTAAGCCCCTTGCTAAGCAGGAACACCAGCTATTTAATTTCAGTTGAGGTCCTTCAGAAATTCTTACAGCATCAAAGTGAATGAGAACTTATGGGTCTATTCAAGCTTCTCCCCCTGAGCATGCCATTGATCTCTCCTAAGTTTTCCCTCCTGTCAAATAAAAATAGGTTATAACCAAAATCAAAATCACTGTTTAAATATGCTCTTTGCCCACACCTTGACCCATCTAACCAAAGAGGGCAGCTGTTTTTCAAAACTACAAAAATCACACTGTTTAAATAAACCTGCAACACAAAATTTTCTTTTTCTTTTCACAAACTAAACCAAAATTAATTTACAAATACAATGAAAAAAACATGTTTTGACAACTCAGCTGACATCTTCCCTGCCCCTAATGAATGGGGCAAGTTTCCTCAAAGCACAGCCTCTGCATTACTTGATAATGCCTCAGTCAAGCAGTCATCAGACAGGTACTGCCCTGAAGGTAAACAGTCAAGCAATATGGAAAAGGAAAGGATACAAGCCTGTACCCTGTCTCCACCAATTCCTACCTGCAGTGATGCAGATAGCAGGACTTAAGTTATATAAACAGCATGGCTGGCCATTACAGTTACCCCTTTTGGGGTTCCACTTATGCCCAGGTACTCCCTATGAGACTGTTTCTCTCTGTCTCACACAGTTTGAACAGTTTGTCCAATATCATATGAGAGAGAAGCAGCAGATGAGGTGTGATCAGAAAGACTTCGGCAAGCCACAATATCTGCCCAGATTTTAACTAGGTGCTCAGAGAGGCCTGTGACATTTAACCATGCAAGACAAAGAGCAAAAGTTTCCTAAAGACTCTACCTTTGAGCAGAGAGTGTGTACCAAAAGAAAACACACCAACTCAGTATGCAGCTCACCACTCTGTGCCAACACGAACAGATCTTAAAATACATTCCCAGCACTTTAACCGCTGTTACCTTCAGGTCTCCTGCATCTGGTGCTCGGATGCTCTGGCAGCTAATGCTTCTAAAGGTCAGATCTTTACATGCTAAGATAAGGAAAAATCAATTTTAATCCCCAAAGGTGGAATTGCTTCTCACAAGGGTTCTTCTATGACATTGAAAAAACATAGTAGGAAAAAGCTTCATCACACACTCTTGTACTGCAGTAGTGTTGATATGGTTTACCTGTTTCTAAGTTCTCTGAAGAACAAAATGTGATTATAAGGAAAAGGAGGACACAGTTATGACTTGTAATCTTCTATCCATTTACCTCAGACAAAATATTTAAGGATTACTACTGGTAAGTCTTACTGTTCTGTATATGTTTGAGGAGATGACAGCAGATCTTGCTTGCCAACTCATTTTAAGTTATCAAGATCAATGGGAATTATCAGTTTAATGAATCAAAAATACTTAGATCTGACCTTGCTGAAAGTGAATCTGTGAACTCACACAGATGGATTTCACAGGAGATGCAGGCATGCACACCGCTTGACAAATATGGAGCTAGATTTCAACGGGAGGCCCAGGAGGATACCTGTCACTTGACTCCAACACCTCCATTCTTTCCTGCTTCTGGTCCTATGCTAATGATATGGTTTAGCAAAGTTTTCCATCTGGAGACTCTGCTGGAGGCATAACACACACCATATAAATGGTTTTAAATGTTATTAAGCAGCAACAGTTATGAGAAACTCTCCTTCTAGTGGTGGACAACCACAAGTCTACCACCTTGAAATGAATTTTGCTCCTTATAAGTTAGAATGGGGATGTTTGTTTTTTAACCTCTATAGAAAGCACTGGTCCTAAAAATAAATGCAAGTAGAATCTCCCAAATCACTCTTTTGGGCTTATTTGTCATTCTCTGATGTCTAAAAGCTTTCTAATGCACTGGGGGAGGAAGGTAGGGGGAGATGGTGGTGCACATGTTAAAATAAATTAAAAAAAAATCAAACAAACAAAAATACCATATTCATGGTAATAAATTTGTTTAACATTCAAGCACCCAGAAACCAGGGAAGTGAACCCCAGCACAAACGGAAAGTGAATACCAGCCTTCGGGACTATCACCGTAATTTATCTACTTAGCAAAGAGCTACCGATTAACCAAATTACTTTGCAGTGTGCAAAACAGTTACCTACAGCCAAACCAGTATTCTGGCAAGCATTCTGCTAGCCCCATCTGTAGAAAACCTCTGAGAAAAAAATAAAAAATAAAAAAGGTGTCATAACACTCTCTGCAGCACAGCTGCAGACCATAAGCAATGGGAATGCCTTTACTCAGACAGGGGACACTTGAAGGCTCTTTGTAACTCTTGATGCACTTTAGTTTTGAAGAGTTCACCCCAATTCAGATATTCTTCCACTGAAGTAGATCAAGTACTGCATAGAAAAAGGGGTTAGATTTCAGATGGGCACCACCTCTTCAGAGGCAGACAGAAGTAAGTAAATTTGTATTATTACCAAAAATTTACTTCTTTAATAATGGAAGCAAGTTCATGTAGATCAAGCCTGCTTTTGTACTGCTTGTAACCCAGATCTACATTGTAGATATAAAACTAGACAAGGAACATCCAATTTTAATTTACTCAGCCATTTTTAATCCATGAGGCTGACCATGAAGTGTAAAAACCTAACAAATGGCTGTCAAGGTCTCATAAGAAGTTAGATGTGTAAACTGCATCAATTCAGATAAGGTAAGATATGACTAAGGCTAGATACAAAATATTTTCTAATACATTTGGCTGTACCCTTCCTCAGTGTAAGTTAACATATTTCCACTGATTTCAGACTTAGCAATGTTTTTATTTTCCCATATAAAAATAAACAATACTTCCAGCCTCACTCTCCATTCACATCTAATCAAACAACGGAACTGAAACTCTCATGTGAAATTACTGTCAACCTGTGTGTTGTCATTTTGCAGTCCAAACTAAAGAAAGCTTTTGCTCTGCCTCTTTCCAGGTATGGCCATGAATCCCCACTGAATGCAACTGGATGGTATCAAAGCAACAATGACAAAAATCTGGTGTCTGTGCACCTGCTTGTTCTAATTGCTTCCAATTATCCTGAAGGAGCTCTGCATTTCTGGGAAGCAATTATTCCAGAGAATAGAATAACAATGATTGTCACATATCTGTTAGGTAATCAAGGGCTTAGCCCAAGGAACCATCTTAACATCAAGTTCTGAAAACAGGGAATATAGTCACTTTTGGATGGGGGGAGGACTGGACAAAGAAAGGGAAGGCCAGGGTAGAGACAGTACCCATAAATGCAAATACAATGAAGGCAGAAAATTAACTCAAAACTCCTATTTTGTTTTTCTTTTTTCCTCCAGAAGGACAGAGACTGTATTGTTAAAACAACCAGAATTACATTAAATGTGCAGGCTGTGGAAAATGACCAATTATCGAACAGCTCAAAAATGGAAGAAAAGCTTGCTATTTATCACAACTGTTAGTTTATAAGGAGGTAGTAGACAAGTAAAGAATAAGAAAAATCCATTTCCTGTCTGTTTTACTGGCTAATTTGAAGAAGAAAAATAGAATGAGGAAAGAACAGAGAGACAAAACAGAAGAAACAAACAGCAGGAAAAAAAGATGTCTAACAAAATTCAGGTTCCTTTCCAAAAGCTTCAAACTGAGAGTAGGTTGAAACCAATCCTGTTCATTACCTGAGCTGGCAACTGCCATAGTTGCATGCAGAAGTAAGGTGACCACAAAGGAAAGGCCACTTAGCAGTCTGGGTGCTAAGTGACTGGTAAATATGACAGTATTTTTCTATGATGTGGCCTATTTTGAGAAAAAGCTGCAGGATGTTCCCTTTTTGATATTTTTCAGTTACACCTCTCTAGTGTTATTAGGCAGTCTCTGTAACAGTAGTTAATGTATCTCTAAAGCTACAAATCTAACAAACATTAAGTGCCCTGCGTTTTGTTAAACTTAAAAGCAAACTCTGTGCTTTCCTTTTTCCCATGCCTGTGACCCTCTGTGTACAGAGCAGAATCACTGCAGCTCTGTCTTTTGGCATGTCACACAACACAGCTACTGCACAGCTGGACTTTGTTCTGAGCTGCCTCTCCTCAGGGAAGTGCACAGCAGGGCAGGAAACATTCCTCACTCCGTGGTTACCTTGCTTTAAATCTGCATAAAAGACAGAGAGGCCCCAGGCTCTACTGCAGGCCATATGCTGCAGCAACAACAGAGGAGTAGCTGCACAGTCTCTTGGTGCCAAGTCACTGCTAACTAAGAGAAAATTTCGGACCCTCCTAGATCCCATGACTGCAGCTTATTTACTTGGCTTTAGACGCACAGATGTGAGATGCATATGGTCCCCACAGCCACTAGCTAAGCTAGGAACAGAAATTGGCTTTTAAAAATAGGTAAAGTTTGGAGGTAGGAGGAAAGCAGCACGAAACAAGTCCATTTAGATAGTGCTAACAGCTTTCCAAATTAGTTGAACAAGCAAAACTGTACTCCAGAAGAGTCCTGAGCAATGGCATCATGTTGAAAGTCATGATGCTTTCAAAAGACTGAAAAGAGAAGACGATGACTAAAAGAGAGATTAAACTCAGGGATTTTTTTTTTTCTCTCTGAAAGGTAACAAAAACCAACTCCATGTACTTTGGCATGAACACCTGTTTAAAGAATAGTTTAATTATGATAGAAAACAAGCAGCTCCACATATCCAGAGATCAGCACTAGCATACATAATTATTATCTTTTAGCCTTTATGAAGTGCCTGTGTTTCTCTCACCAAACTCCATCACTACTACCTGGTCATTCCAAAAGAAATATCAATCATTCACACATACAGATAGATTGGATAACATTCCCCCAGAAAACGGATCTAACAAGAAACAAAGCAGCAGTAGTGTTAACTGTGAAAGATGACATCACAGCAGTTTAAGTTATATTTTGTGGTTAAAGTACCCCATGCTTACTAATGTGGAACTGATCAAATTGATCATCACAGCTGTAATGGGAAGAAGCTTCTAGCAGGATGCTTCTGCAAGGTACACTCCCCTGTACACAGGCAGTACCAGTTTCATGATTAGAAGGCAAAACTTTTAAGAGCAAAATAAGTTATAGAATGCAAACTTTCAGCTTATTCCAAAACTACTGAATACTGGCTTTGCTATATCAAGTTTTTAAAAATTGAAAAAGTATGTTCTCTATAGCAGAAACTATTTGCACAAACCTAACTTGTGTATTATCATTGCTGATGGACTCTTCAGTGTTGTCTTAAAGCATCACATACAAATTACTCTAAACGTCAGAACAAATTAGAGAGCTTCCTCTGCCTCCCTGAGTGACTTTCATCTCTAATGTTCTCATTTCTCCCTTCTAGATCAAGTGGCAGAACTGGGGCTCATTTAGCCCTAGATAAAGCACGGTCCTCCAGGCTGAGAGAATCACAGTTTACACTATAATTTAAAGCAACTTTACTCACCTACATTAATGAAAAAAACAATCAATTACTTACTGTTCTTCTTGTACATCAAGATTTCAAAGGAGTTCATCTCATAGTTCTCAAATGTTTGCCGGACCTTGTCAATTGTATCCTTGTCTGTCAGCTCTCCATACATAAAACTGTGAATAAAGAAAGAGGTTCAGTCAGATACTAAACAAAGACACAAAGCAATTTATTTACAGTGTAAAAAGGACCCCGTTAGAAATAGCTCTTATTTGATTTTGTTTCACCTGGAAATCATATTTGACAGATGTAGCCCCAAAAGATAAAAGACAAAACTGGAATAAACAGATTACTTTTCTCCTCAAACAACAAGCACAACACTACAAGCTATTTAACAGAAAATAAATCTGTTCTCAAATACCTGCAGGTGCTGCTTTTTTGCATAACTTCTGCTCTGTGATATCCTGATAACTTGCAAAATCCATCGTTGCTATAGACAATGGGCCAATCCACTATCTGTGCATTACCCAAGACGAAATTAGTATCTGTTTGAAAAAGCACATCAGTCAGACATTAGACAAGGCTATGGTTGCATTAGAGGAAATACTCATTTCAGGACCCAGTATCAATTGCTTCAGTCCCTGAACAATTTTTCCCAGATATTCCCACTGCAATCAACATTATTATTCTTGGTTTTAATTTTAAGTAAATTCTTATTTTTAAAAAAGTATTAATTACTTATACAAGAGTATAAAAGCATAAAAGGATAGGTTTATGCAAATGAAACACATGATGATCAAGCGGGTAAAATTCATCTCTTGACAGAAGACGCATTTCCTCTGTGCCACATGCACTGATCCACCACAATACTCAGTTTGAATGTGAAGGCTTTAACAGTGGCCAAACCAACAAATGAGTAATACTTCTCCTCCCTGAATGCAGACACCATGGCCCCTCTCAATTGCCTTCACTGGGGGCCACACAAACTCAAATACTTCTTGTGTGACGGATACAGCACAGCACTCCCAAAGAGACACGCAGGAACCAAGGTTAGCATTTACACCAGTAGAAGGCACTTTCTGTTTGCAATACAAGCCATAAAGAGTTTCAATCAGTAAGAAAAAAAACTAAGCAGGATTCACACCTCTATTCTCACTAGATCTGCCCATGACACTTTTTTTATGACTGCTACCTCAAAACTACACCTGTGCCAAGACAGACAGCAGCATTGCTGCCTGAGCACTGGCAGGCAGGAGGAGATGGTGGCTCTTCTCCCAACAGCAAAGACCCTCTGGCTTTTGAAAGAAAGGCTGGGCAGTGACATGAGATCAATAGGCCTTCATACCTAAGGGGAGCTTTTAAGGGAGTCCACCTCACTGTCTACTTTTCAGGATCTGCCCCCAACTGCTCAAATATACATAGTCATCATCAATGCCTCCTGCAACCACAAGCAAGACATTTTACCTATTAATTGCAAAGAGTTCTGTTTATTTTAACTTCCCCTTTCAAAATCTTTCACCCCATTGCAAACTTCAAGTGGGTATAAATAAAACATTCCTGTAACTATCTAATTCCATTGCTCAATTCCATAAGCATGACCAAGTACATCTTTATACACTCTTTAGAATGAAACACACCAGTAGTATAACTTCAGGACATTTTAGCTGCTTTGTTTCTCACAACCTCTTTTAAATGCCATGGTTTTTTGCTTTCTTCTTTGGAAGAAACATTTTCTTCCAAAAACATTACATATCTTTTACCCTTTCCTAAGAATAAGCTGTCATTTCTCATGGCTTAAGCAAGTGCTTTTGAATGTCTATTATAAACACTATGTTATACTATCTTAGGATATTTTTAAATTTCATCAGGAAGTACAAAAAGAAATGACAAAAAAGTATGTAAATACAAATGTTAGGCCAGGTCCTGCCATGATCTGAATGGTGTTATTTCATGCATTAATTCCTTCTCACTGTCTCCCTTTCTCAAAAGGTAACTTTCACCTCACTTCATTTCCGAAAGAGTTTCCATTAAGCATTTGCCTGCCATTCACTTAAACCTCACTGTCTTCAGATAAATAATCTCTTTTTGTTTTTATTGAAGGCTACAGTAGGGCACATTTTTGATGGCCATCACTGTGTTAATCCTGCTTTCATCTAGCCTTGCAATGCTTCTGTGAGGTACAACAGTGCTTTTGCCCCCTTTTTACAGGTAAAAGCAAAGACCTAATCCATAAGGGGATTTAAGTACCAAATGGTGAGACTGCAACAGTCTAGCCCCTAAATGCCTGGCTATCAAAGACTTTGTAGCTGGATGCTCTGTGAGTAGTGATGGAGAGGAGAGCTGAAAAAATTAACCCAGCAAATAGAAACCTGCCCAAATTAAACAATGGAAAACAATGGAAAAAAAAAAAGGGATATTTTCAGATTGGGTTTTTCCCCCTTTCCTATATTACTTATAATACCTAATATTTTAACATAAGCCCAGATCTCACAGACAATACAAAGATTCTTTGCCATTACTACAGAAGCTAAAGAATCACATTCCCACTTGCTTACATTTTGGCCAATTGAAGCCCTTACTTTCTCGGACTGGCAGTTTCCAAAGGATGCACAGAGACCATGTCCACATTTCCCTCCTCCAACAGCAGTTAGGACATTCTCCTACAAGATGCAGGGCTACCTGAGGGCAGTGACAGCTCAGCCTTTATTTCAGCTCCTGAATGACTAATTATCAAGCTACCTAAGAGGACAGATGTCAACATCCTCACCATATGAGTTTTAAGTCAGTGTGACTTGGCCACTGTATTTTATGCACCCCTATTAGGCAACCCTGTTAGTCTACAGTGGGTGAGCCTCTCTGGGAGGTGGAGGTACAATGCTTCATCAGAGAGTTCAGGCTGGGCTTAGTTGTGAGTTACAAGCAATCTGAGAGATCTTTACGTACCTGCAAAGCTTTAAAGAAAAGATCTCGGGCATCAAACAATTCAAAGAACAAGGCAGAGGTTTCCACAGTCCCATTGTTTCCTAAGTGTCTCTCCCTTCCAGCTAGTTCCCATTTCAAGCATCTTCACCTTTCTTTGATCCAGGCTTTACATAGCTGACAAACATACTGCATTTCTTCAGAAGGAGTATCTCCAACAACGGTGTTTTGCCTGTGTGAACACTGGCAAGACACAGCATAAAATAAGGACTCCCACTTATACCACCCCTGCACAGTTTATTCTGACAGATAACCAGAGATAAAAGGGCTGTCCTCATTGCTATCATTTACATTCAATTGCATTGACATTCTTGACAATGTGCTGCTTGGAGACAGCTCATAATCCGCTAAAAAATTGTTCCTAACATAAGAAAATATTAAATAACATCCAGTGAGGCAAATATTGCCACTTCACCCACAGGGACATGGGGTCCCAGAGGCCAGGAAACAGCTGTGGTTTTGTTACACAACAAGCACGAGGGATGTTTCCAAGCATCACAGGGAAGAGCCTCTTGGGGACTCACAAGTGGGTCAACAAGGCCAGGAAATGAGTTGATTGGGAGGACCATGAAGAAATCCACTGCTAAAGTCTCTTCAAAGACACTGGTGAAATGGACATGGGATAGTACTTAAACTCTTTAGTGACTTTAGGCACCTCTTTGAAAGGACTCAACGGACTTCCTTACCAGGAAATCAATTTCTATCACAATGGCAATTGGATTAGCAGTATTGCCTGGCCTGAGGAGAAGCTGTATCACTGGCCCCTCTTATGAGCTCCAAGATGAACTGAGCAAGAACTGGAGAGGGCAGGCTCCTGTAAAAGATCTAGGGTTCTGGCTTATGTTGCATTTGGCACAGTCTGAGCAAGACCATTGGGAGGCAAGGAAATACGTAGAATTGCAGCACAGAGTACATCGTGCTCTAGAAACACAAGTAAGAACTGTAGCACCACAAAGGCAGCCCAGTTACTTGCATGAGTAGGGCAGGCTTCTGTGATGAGGGTCTGCAGCACTGGTTACTTTGTGAAGTGCCTCACACTTCACATTTTCTAGTCTGCATTTTCTACAGGTCAGTTCCGCTCACTTCAGTGTACCCTCATGTCAGTCTTTACACACTCAAATGTCAGATTCATTTTGGATTATCACTTTAAAGTAGATATGGCTGCTTTAAAGCAGCCAGAAAAACATTTTAACTCCTTCCAAAATGTAAGAATGGATTTCACTAAGGCACTGAAACCAGTACTTTCCTCCACTCAGAAAATAAACCCTTACAGACAAATCAGAAAATGCCTTTCCAAATAACCTTGGTCCTTTAACAACAGCAATAGCAAGCATCTAGAACAACTATCTTCACCAAAACTAACGTGCCTACTGAATCCTATGTCACATATAGTACTTTGTTTAACCAAAACCGTCCATCAGCTCAAACTTCTAAAATGCCTGAAGACAAGATGCACTCATAGACGCGTGTCTGGCCAGAACTAGCTGCCTGAGGAGAGGTTACCTTCTTGCAAGAGCAGGGAGCAAGTGCTTCCTCCCAACCATTCCCCTGCACAGCCACACATTCACATCCCTTGCATACCAGCCTCTCCTGTAAGGCGGAGCTTGCCAAGACAAGATCCCCGCCTCATTCTGGAGGCCAGTTCTGTCCTCCCTGTCCCTTCAGTGATGCACAGGTCCTCTTCTGGGACACACTGTCAGAATGTCAGAGACCAGCACCCAGACATATTCCCACAGCAGTGCCAGACACATTCCCTCCCACATTGCAGACATGTTCCCACATTGCACAGAGGAAGCCAAGGGGAAACCTCTGCTCAGCAATTTGTAGTGCAGACCTTGGTAATAAGAAAGGCTGCTGCCCACTGCACCATCACATATGTGCGCCTGTCAAAGCTCCCACAAGTGTGCTCAGGTTTGTGTAGTGCACAAATGTAATTTAAATATATTGCTATCTTTTCCCCACAGTCAGCACACAAATACAAAACTCAAAAGGTTTGCTCCTAATTTATCCCCCTCTCAGTGAAAGGAGATCCAGGCTCACCATGGTGGCAAGACCTGTTCCTCACCAAACTTGCTAGTTCTCCCATCAGACTCCGACAGAACAGGAACTGCCCTCCTACACAGCACTGGTTACTGAGACCAGCAGGTCATTTTTTTATCAATCCTTTTATAGATCTTGAGCAGAGCAAACCTAGACCTCCAGCATTACCAAGCACAAATCACTTCTACAGCAGAACTAAAAGAACTGCAGAGTACATATGTTTCTTACCCTGCCCATGGTCATTAGGAATGGTGGTGGAGGATACAACCTCCTTAGCTACTGCCCCCTTAGCTGGGAACGAAGCTGCACAGGTGCTATGTCACAGCCAGCTTAAGAACAAGGGGCAAACGAATTCCCAAACAATTCTGCTATTTACAAACTTGCGACTTTGCATCACAAACAGCATTATTTGGACATGGGGAAAAGAGACACTGATTCATTTCTGTTTAATTTTTGCCCAATGCAGGAAAATCAAACTTTGTAAGTAGGCCTGTCAGAGTTGATACCAAAGGATAGATACGTATGT